TCGCTATTGATAAAAGTGACAATTTCTTCATCAGTTATGTCTTCGTTCATCCAACTTTCAACTTCTTGCGAAGACGCGTTCTCACACCCAGGGACACGCTGGACTAAGGGTTGAAGGCTTTCTTCGGTTTCATCTCTGCTTTCCCTTTCTGTAATTTTACGTTTATCTTTGCCTAACAACTTCTTCTTCCTGGGTGACATTTTGTAATTGAGGCCGGTCTCATCACAATGAAATATCTGATCGCCCGTTAGGCTTTCCGTCTCAACAAAGTCCTGAATTTTTCTTTTGAACGACTCCATTTCTTGATAATTTGATAACAGCTTCTCGCCACCAACGCTTAACTGACGGATCCCGTAACGTTTCTTCCACCTGTCGAGCCAACCAACGCTTGCAGTAAAATCCGGGTCGCCTTCGTTAAATTCCTTTCGAAAATGCAACGCCTTTTGCTGCAAAATAGGCCCTGAAATAGGCACGCCTTTGTCTCTGAACTGCGTAAACCAAGCGTACAAAGCTTCGCTCACTTTTTCATACTCACACTTTTTCATCGTCTTCCTCTCTTTCAGTGCACCATCGGTAATTCTGGAGGAACACCATTTTTCTATCTCCAATCGGTTCCTCTTCCAGTCTCCTACTGTTACCCGTGCAACACCATAGTCGTTGGCTACCTTCTGCATCGTCTCTCCTTTGTCCAGTCTCTTGATTGCCTCGAGTTTCTGGTCCATTGATACAACGACCTTCTTTCTTTTCGTTGCCATACTCGTCCAAGAAGAGGAGCATGCGTGGATTGCTGGCAAGGCAGGTCTGCTGCTTGTTTTCGATTGCGGTCGCACTTGTTCTTGTTGACCCCGGCGGTGAGTCGCTGTGGTGGATGCACGGTACGCCAGAGGGTTTGCCGTATGTTGCTGTTTGGAAAAAAAACATGCTGTTCAGAAAAGCGTCGGCCCTTCCATGTGCTGGGCACTTGTTTGGAAGGGGGTGAGGCACCGCGGCGCGAGGGCCAAGCACAGCACACCCACCAAGGATTGCATGCCTAGCTGTTGTCGGTCATGTCCCATCCCTCCCTGTGGGTGCTTGGTGCATGGGGAGTATTGCTGTTTTAAATTTTAAGCTCAGCTGGAGAGGCCCTGCTCTTGATCCCACCACCTTTGCAAACGAGACTGGTGGGGACAAGAGACAGGGCCTTCTTGGTTGTGGCCCCCCAGCTGTGGAACTCTCCCCCTACTGACATCAGATTGGCTACTTCTCTCCTGTCCTTTAGAAAAAACTCAAGACCTGGCCTGTGTCGGTTGCATCCCGTCTCTCCCGAAGGTCACTTGGTATGGGGGGGTATTGCTGTGTCTCAACCCCCCCCCCCAACCATCATGAAGTTTGATCAGCAGCACTTTCGCAAATGAGACTGGTGGGGACAAGAGACAGGGGCTTCTTAGTAGTGGCCCCCTGCCTGTGGCACTCTCTCCCTAGCGACATCAGATTGGGAGGGGTGGTAAGGCGCCGCGGTGCGTGGGTGGAGCACAGCATGTCCACCAAGGATTGCGCACCTGGCTGTTGCCGGTCACGTCCCATCCCTCCCAGTGGGCGCTTGTTGCACAGGGGGGGGGGGTTGCTGTGTTTCAACCCACCCGCCCCTGAACCATCACAAAGTTTAAGCTCAGCTGAAGAGGCCCTGCTTTCAATCCCACCACCTTTGCAAATGAGACTGGTGGGGACGAGAGACAGGGCCTTCTTGGTAGTGGCCCCCGGCCTGTGGCACTCTCTCCCTAGCAACATCAGATTGGGAGGGGTGGTGAGGCACCGTGGTGCGGGGGTCGAGCACAGCAGCTCCACCAGGGATTGTGTGCCTGGCCTGGTTGCATCCCATCCCTCCCGGCGGGTGCTTGGTGTACCGGGGGGGGGGGGGGGTGTTGCTGCGTCTGATTCTATGAGAGACAGGGCCTTCTTGGGAGTGAGAGACAGGGCCTTCTTGGGAGTGACCCCCCGACTGTTGAACTCTCTCCCTAGTGACATCAGATTGGGAGGTGTGGTGAAGTGCTGTGGGAGTCAAGCACAGCAGGTCCATCTAGACTCGTGCACCTGGACCATGCCGGTCACATCCCGTCCGTCCCAGCAGGCGCTTGGTGCATGGGGAGGTGGATTACTGTGTCTCAAGCCCCCCCCCCCCCCCCGAACCATCACAAAGTTTAAGATCAGCTGGAGAGGCCCTGCTCTCGATCCCTCCAGCTTCGCAAACGCGACTGGTGAGGACAAGAGACAGGGCCTTTTCAGTAGTGACCCCCTGCCTGTGGAACTCTCTCCCTAGCGACATCAGATTGGCTACCTCCCTCCTGTCCTTTAGAAGAAAACTCAAGACCTGGTTGTGGGACCAAGCGTTTGAACGATAAAGGCAGCAATTGAGAATAAGACTCAAGCGATATAAATGACAACAAATTGACCTAGACTTTGATTTTTACACTGGCGTGATTTTAACCATTGTTTATTTAATGTAACTGTTTTAATGAGTTTGTTTTAAATGTATTTTATGATTGTGGAAAGCACCGAATAGTGTGTACTGTGAAGTCGCCTTGAGTTCCCCCCTCGGAGGTGAGAAGGGTGGGGTACAAATGTACGAAATAAATAAATAAATAAATAAAGGTAATATGCAGATTTGATAAATGTGGATTTAATATGATGTGTGGGTATGAATGGAGCTGAACGAAAGAAATGAATGAATGAGAGCTAACCATTTTGGAGACACCATTCTGAATATTGAGGCCTGCAATGACTAAATCACTAACTACTAGGCGTGGGCAATCCATGGTTCTAAAGTACTTACAAAGCTAAAGTTCTGGTGGTGAAAACTAGGGGGCGCTGGTGCTTTGCTTCTACAGTGTTGCTAAAGTCCTGGTGGTGAAAATTTCAGAACTCTAACAAAACTTTCAAAATTTCATAATTATTTTATTATTGGCCATTTTATGATGGAATCAATTAGGAACTGTCTCTAATAACAAAATTTTGAAAGTTTTGTTAGAGTTTTGAAATTTTCACCACCAGAACTTTAGCAACTCTGTAGAAGCAAAGCACCAGCGCCCCCTAGTTTTCACCACCAGAACTTTAGTTTTGTAAGTACTTTAGAACCATTTAGAACCATGGATTGCCCATGCCTACTAACTATCTGCTTGTTAGACCGTAATTAATTTAGACCTGCCATAGTTAACTTTGATAAGAACTGTGACAGTGATAAGATAAACTTTTACAATGTTAAGAAGGAAGTCAACACAAGGCTAACACCAATCATGAAGAGTTAACATCTGGCCAGGAAAATGAGATGGAATCAACATATACCAGGATGGAAGACGTCTATCATTAAGTTACAACTTTGGGAAGACATCAGTCTAATAATTCTCAAATTGTGACAGACCTGAGGAGTCTGGTTCACCCACCTCTCTGGTCCATGGACAGGACAGAGATGGTGTATTCGGAAAGTGTCAGATCCGCTAAGGGAAAGCAGGATTCTGTATACATTGGGGCTTCTTTCTCAAGGGAAGGGGAAAGAAGAGTGCATTTTGGAGTCTTAGATATTGTGCAGGGCGTCAGGTTCTGCTGTATGGAAAACACAGATCTGATCCTTGGCATTGTTCTTAGGGAAAGAGGAGTTTTGGTGTTATGGAAGTTTTGGAAACCTGCGTTGGCAGGCTGCAGGGAAGCAGTGCCGGGCCGAAGCAGGTGCTTCTCCAAGGAGGGAGAAATGATAATATTTGAATGCATGAGGATGGATGCATGTACGTGTGTATGAATGCTGAGTAAAAATGCAATTCTCCTTTGTTTGTTAACCAATGTAACAGTAAGTTGTTTGTGAATCCAATGACGTTCCATAGAATCTGCATTCTTGTACGTCCAATGTCATTCTTTGTGTAAAAGAATAAAAGCTCTGTAGAAGTTGCAATAAAAATTGTAGAAATTGTAATAAAAAATGTAAAAATTGCAATAAAAAGAACCAATGCTTTCAAGTTATTGAAAAGTCATTTATGACGGCTGCATGTTGCTGTTTGGAGAAACAGCAACACGCTGTTAAGCAAAGCAGCGGCATCCAGTGTGCCCTTCCCTGTGTTGGGAACCCGTCGGGAGTGGCGGTCGGGAGTCGCGATGCGGGGGTTGAGTGCAGCAGGTCCACCAGGCTGCGTGCCTGGCATGTGCCAGTTGCGTCCCGTCCCTCCCAGTGGGTGCTTGGTGTTCAGAGGGTTTGTTGCTTGTTGCTCTTTGGGAGCGAGAGAGCAGGGACTGGCGCTCCCCCTTCCTTCTGGGGCCTCCCCTTCCTGCCTCTTCCAGGTCCCAGCTTCCTACCCCATTATCACTCTCATTCACTCACTCACTCACTCACTCACCGTGGCAAAGAAAGCAGCAGTGGTAGTAGAACCAGGAGCATGGCATCCATCAGGAGGGGTGGGTTGCAGGCCTAACGCATGCACCCAGTGAACCCACAATGACAATGATGATAAATGCTATGGAAAATGGACTATGAATAGGCTTCTGATTGTGTTGTGTTTGCAGAATTTGATTCTAGATAAGGCTAGACAGCCAGTATTATTATAAATGGCTTTTTTAAAAAAACTAACCTATTATTCTTATGTAATTACTGTATGTGGCAGACCTGAGGAGTCTGTTCCACCCGCCATGCTCTTCTCCATGGGAAGGACAAAGATGGCGTAGCTATGGAGAGAGTCAGATATGCTATAGGAAAGCATGATTCTGGACACTTTGGGGCTTTCTGGACCCAGGTGTGGATTTCACAGTGACCACGCTGAAGAAAATGTAATTTCCCTTTGTCTGTTTGTTAGTCCAGTGTAACTGTAAGTTGTTGTACAGCCAATATAGTTGCACAGAATCTGTATGTCTGTATGTCCAATGTCATTCTTTGTCTAAATGTTTTTTCTGTAATCTGATGTCCCCTCTCACACTGGAAATTGCAATAAAAAGAACCTATGCTTCAAACTTATTGAAAAGTCATTCATGACACATCCTTTTACCTGATCTTGTTGCACAGAGGCCGTTTTTCCTGCATCGGGAAAAGACGAGTTATTCTGTCTTCGCAGAATCCTTGGCTCATAACCTATGAAATGCCAAAAATGGAAAAGAAAGAAATAAAAATGTAGTGGCTTCGTTTGTTTCTCAGAGTTTGTTATGAGAGAAGCTTCAAGGAATGAGGCTGGTCACACACAATGCCAGCTTGGAGATAAATAGAGATATATATAAATAAAAATGTAATGTTCGTTTGTGGGATTAACATAACTAAAAAACCACTGGACGAATTGACATGAAATTTGGACACATTATACCTAACAGTCCAACGAGTGACCATCACTCATAACTCCCCCCCCCCCAAAAAAAAGAACAGTGGAATCCCCAAAAAGCTAAATGACAAAAAACTAAATGACGATACAGAAAAAAAGGGAAGGAAGAGAGAGGGAAGGAAGGGAAGAAAGAAAAAGAAAAAGAAAGAAAGAAAGAAAGAAAGAGGGAGGGAGGGAAAGAAGGAAAGAGAGAAGGAAGCATGGATGGGAGCAAAGAGCAAAGGAAGGAAGAAAGGAGAGGGAGAGGAAGGAAAAGAAAGAGGAGAAAGAGAAAGAAAAAAAGGGAGAGAAGGAAAGAAGAAGGAAGAAAGACAAAGAAGGAGAGAAAGAGGGAGGGAAGAAAAGAAGGAAAGAGAAGGAAGGATGGAAGGAAAAAGGTAAGGAAGGAAGGAAAGAGGTACAGAAGGAAGAAAGGAGAGAACGAGGAAGGAAAAGAAAAAGGGGGGAAGGAAAGAGATAGAGAAGGAAGGAAGGAGGAAGGAAGGAAAGAAAGAAGAAAAGGGAATGAAGGAAGGAAAGAGGGGTGAAGGAAGGAGGGAAAGAAGGAGAAAGAGGGAGGGAAGGTTGGCCACAGCAATGCGTGGCGGGTACAGCTAGTGTGTGTGTGGGGTGTGTGTGTGTGTGTGTGTATATACACACACTTAAAACTGTGCTTTAAAACATTCTAGCAAAATATTCTCACACATTAGGAGTGTATATGTGGATATATGTTTCTTTGGGGTTTAAAGTCTGCTCTGCTGGGGTTTTGTGTGTGTGTGTGTGTGTGTGTGTGTGTGTGTTTTTAGGGGTGATTGACACTCGTTGAACTGTTAGGTATAATGTGTCCAAATTTCATGTCAATTCCTCCAGTGGTTTTTGAGTTATGTTAATCCCACAAATGAACATTACATTTTTATTTATATAGATAATGATAATGATGATGATGATTATTATTATTATTAATTCAAGCTTCCTAATTGCAACAGGCAAGAGTTCTTTCTCCCACCCTGGACATTCCACAGGTATATACACTCCACTTGCTTCACTGCCAACAGAACCTCTGAAGATGCCAGCCACAGATGCAGACAAAACGTTAGGAGTGTGGTGGAGGCTCCTTCTTTGGAGGCTTTTAAACAGAGGCTGGGTGGCCATCTGTCAGGGGTGCTTTGAATGCAATATTCCTGCTTCTTGGCAGAATGGGGTTGGACTGGATGGCCCATGAGGTCTCTTCCAACTCTTATGATTCTATGAATGGTGCTGGAATATAACCAGATAGACCGAAAAACTCACAACAACCCAAGACAGGAGTTATTGGGGTTTTAGAGACCACCATATATGTGAGGGATCCTTGAGACCAAGAGAGAGAAGACATCTTACCTAGTGGAACAGTCTCATTGTCCTCCTCCAGCTTGATCCACTTGGTAGGGAAGTTCTGACTGGTATCCAACGGGACCTCCTGGGCCTGAAGGATCTCTCTCTTCTCCTGTTCCTCTTCCTGCAGCGTCTTCTCCTCTTCTGAACGACTCAGGAGGAAGCCTTCAGCCAAAGCCACCGCCTGGGAACTGGTCTCCGGCCCATTTTCCCGCACCCATCTTTCCATCTCTGGAGGAAGGACGGCCAGGAACTGCTCCAGGATCACCAGGTCCACCATCTCCGCCTTGGTGCGTTTCTCTGGCTTCAGCCACAGGCAGCAGAGAGCGTGGAGTTGGCTGCAAAGATCTCGGGGGCCCTTGTCCTCCTGGAAACGGACACGCCGGAAGAGCTGGCAGACAACATCCGAACTGGCCGCCTTCCTATTCAGGAGATCGTGATCCATTTCTCCCTGGAAATCCAGACTTCTCCCGCCCCACGTGTCACTGGACTCTCCTCCTCCTCCTCCTCCTTCAGGGCTGGCTGGGTCTGGCTCCTCCACCTTCACTTTGGTCTCCAAAACAATTTCCATCTGGGCTGGAGAACCTCTTCCCTTCTCCATGTGATAAATGACAAGAAGCTACACAATACGGGGAGAAGATCAAGTCAAGTGTTAACTAACCAGTCAACTAACAAGATTGGTAAACCACTGACATTTTCTCAAGGGAGGAAGGGACTTTCTGTGTTTTTCCTGATGGCTGTTTAGGAGTAAGCTTAAGAAATCAGCACAATGGGAATTCACTTTCCTTCCATGTGCCATCTTCCCTTGTTATGCTTTATTTACCCT